ATGTTGTGGAAAGAGCTCTACGGCATGACGAAACTGGGGAAGATAACGCAATGAAGCTGCTTGGCTTGGCCGATGCTGTGCGAAGAACCGATGAAGCCCTGAAGGACCGCATTTTGTGACAAGACGATGGCCGAACTTGGTTACAATACAGTGCAGGTCAGAATATCGGAATGAAGTGGTGCAGGAAATGGTGGGTGCAGTTCGAAGAAAAAGAGAGTCATTTCTAGACAAATTTGAAGCAGCTCAGAGACATCGTAGAGGTCGCTGGTTGATCTAGGCAAGTGGGTTGTTTCACGCGCATGATTTGCCAATTACCGTTCTATACCTACACAATTGGACATCCCCAAAACACTGCTCTAACCATCGGATATGCTTCCGTGATATTGATGGTAAGGTCTCGCCGAAGGTAGCCTTGATGTTCGTGGTCGCCATGGCTGCCAAATTCCTGGAGAGCTATGCGTACCGACTGCGCATATCGCACGTGGATCAACCAGCCTAGTACCCCTGTACCGTAGGAGATCTCATACGACTTAGCATCTGCAGCCGGAGACTTGTCCCTGACTGGGTAGGCCACCTCGGAAACGTATCACGCGGGGGCAAGGCAGGTTCACTCGAAGCGAACGCGAATCAGACCTCAGACGGTAGCTGGGTGCACGTAATTGGAAAGTCGGATTAGGTGTGACTGGTGGTGTGAAGCAAAAATGGCAACCATCCCCGAGCTACCCCGAATTCACCCCAACCATGACGATAAGCATTTGGTCTAGATCTGGGAGATTGAGCTCCTTGCCTAAAACGGGAGCTTCAAGACGATTGCTTCAGGCGCTGAAGGGTCCAAAAGCCCAGCGGAAGCATCCTCTGCGTACTGTTTTTATCCCGATTTCGGGTAGCGGAGCAGCTTGCCGAGGCAGGAAAGTCAAGAACGTTGTAGACTGACGGAACCCATTCCGATCGAATTTTCACATAAGCTCACGAGCTTTCCATTGAAGCAGCTTCTTTTCACATCAAGTGTTCCTCTTCAACCCCTCCCAAGACCATTCCATGTTGAGCTGGTGTAATCGATCCTCAAAGCACACCCGACCAAGATAATCTTAGTCTTACCAGATTGACAATGGCAAACCGCGGCGCAACATGGGACCCCGATGTCCATACCATCCGTGATCTGATGGAGTTGGGCAGCAAGAAGCTCCCCAAGATGTACAGGGATTACTACAATGAGGGCGCAATGGATCTCGTAACGTCAGTCGCCTGAAGTCAGCTCCAGAGTATGCGAGATAGTACTGACACTCGACGTTACGCAGACTGAAGGATAATGAGGAGGCATACAACCGATACAAGATCATGCCGCGTATTCTCGTCAATGTCGACAATATCGACATGTCTACCTCAATCTTTGGAGCTAAGGTATGTAAATCGCATAGTCGCAATCCCACTCTCTAGGAAACTGCTTACACATTCCCGACAGGTTTCATTTCCATTGGGCTTTAGCCCGGCTGCGATGCACAAGATGGCACACCCACATGGCGAACTCGGCACGTCGCGTGCGGCAGCAAACATGAATGTTTGCATGGCCCTTTCTTCCTATGCCACCGAGTCGATGGAGAACGTGGCAGCCGAAGGCGCTGGAAACCCATATGTCATGCAGCTGTGTGTGCTCAGAGACCGAGAGACCACTTTGCAAATTCTGAAGAGGGCTGAGGGTAGGCAAAGCATATCTTCTACAAGCATGAAGTCAAAATGCTAAGAAGTTTGATAGCATCTGGATACAAGGCCATCTTCCTGTCTGTCGATACCCCGCTGCTGGGCCGCCGATTGAATGAGTACCGAAACAACTTCTGTCTGCCCGACGGCATCGAGTGGCCCAACCTCTTGTCCGATGGAAAGAGCGAACTGAGCGGCAACGAGAAGGATGGCCAGTCTTCAAACCGACATGACTTCGGTACGTCGTCATGTAGGTGCATATTTTTCGACTTCATTACTGACAGCCAAAATTGCAGACCCTTCGCTGGACTGGGACTCGGCTATTCCCTGGCTCAAGAAGCACACTAAGCTTCAGCTATGGCTGAAGGGTGGTGAGTTGATTATACACCTCGCCTCTTGTGATGATATCGAACTGGCTGGTTGACTTGTCCAATAGTTTACACTCCCGACGACGTAGCTCTCGCAATCAGACACGGCCTCGACGGTGTCATCATCTCGAACCACGGTGGCAGGCAGCTAGATGGAGTGCCTGCCACGTTAGATGCTTTGCGCATCTGCGCACCTGTAGCGGCGGGAAAGATTCCTATCGCTGTTGATGGCGGTATACGCCGTGGTACTGACATCTTTAAGGCTCTTGCCCTTGGCGCGTCACATTGCTTTGTGGGAAGAATTCCCATTTGGGGTCTGGCGGTACGTCAAGACACGACTATTCAAGATTTTTAATGGATAAAGCAGCTGATCAGCATAACAGTACAATGGGCAGGAGGGCGTTGAGCTGGCGCTTAAGATCCTCCAGTACGAGCTCAAGGTTGCCATGGCTCTTGCAGGGTTAGTCCTGAGCCGTCGACTGATGAACATCGAAAACAGCTAACTAAATTGTCAACAGAACCCGAACCATTGCTGAAATCTCGAGGGGTCATGTGGCATATCTAAACGGAAGCGGTGTTTTGGCGAAGCTTTAGGTGAAACGTGTGTATTTTGATAGCATTTGCATAGCGAATTATCATTTCCTCAGATTGATCATCATCAACGAAAGTTGCAGGAGTGTCAGTTTCTATCTTTTTCGAGATGCGGAAGATATCTTCAATGAATCATCTAAGATGCACGAAACGTGAGACAGCCTACAACCAAATCCAATACTACCGAATCTCCAGCATTATTAGCTGCTAAAGAGCGCCAGGCCTGGGCAATCACACAAAATTGTCTTCAAGGGATTCCTAATCGCACCGCCAACCATGATTGCAACTGCATGTGCAGAATTCAAGCGTACTTGGGCCGATGTGTGCATCATGGCTTTCTTTGCCCGACTTTGCCACCTAGACTGGATCTGCAAGCGCCACGTAGCTTCGGAAAAAGACACTGACTCCTACGAGACCCTGAATGACGAACCTAGTGTCCCTTGGAGCACATTGGTGCGTCCAGAAACCTAGTGTACCGGTATCAAGGAAACCCCAATAATGGTCGTCCCTTTCGAGCGCAGAATGGCTGTCCTGTTTGGTGATGGTGTGAAGCAGATGACCGTTTCTGCGCCACACATACCATAGTCAGGCCAAGCCGGCCTCCTAAAGGAAGGCCTCCGCGACGGGATCCACTTTACCGCCCGGACCTACCCCGCGATATCTCGATGAAGATAGCGATTCTGGACACTTGAACCGCGGGGCATTATGGGTCCCAGGGACCGGAGCTGACCCGCGGTGCCGTCTTCTTTCGCTCGATTCGAATTACCCCGCCATCCTCACACCCCTTTTCCAAAGCCGTCTTGAGGGGCAGAAGTGACAGAAGAGGCAGGCCTGCTCAAATTGGTTATGCTTCGAGTGATCGGGTGCGCTTCCGGTCTTGTTTGTGCTGCAATAGAGAAGGTTTGCGCGTGAAGCTATCCGAAATGGACGAAGCAAGAGAAGCCGGCTTGCGTTTGTAATCTTTGATATGCTTGAATTAGATAAACACCCGAAAAAGCTGGTAGCTATATGACGTTGACATCCGAAGCTCGGCAGGCTCTGATTCTTTACATTGCGATATCGATCAAGTCCTGATACCAACGTCTAGCTTGGTTTTTCTGTACCAGAACTTATCTTACGGTTCACTACACAACAATCTCGATTACTTCAAAGCCTCAAACCACTCTAGCAACCTGAATAACACGTTCGAGATGCCCGCTAGCGACCTCAAAGGCGTCCTCGTCGCCCTAATCACCCCCTTCACCCCCAACCAGAAAGAAATCGACACCGCTGCCCTCGATGCACACATTCAACGCATGATCGCCGCAGGCGTCCACGGCCTCGTCCCTGGCGGCAGCACGGGCGAATTCACAGCCCTCACCACCGAAGAGCGCAAAATCCTTGTCAAGCAGTCCGTCGACTCTGCTGCTGGCCGAGTCCCCGTCGTGGCGGGCATCGGCGACCTCTCCACCGCAAAGGCCGTCGAGCATGCCATCTACGCCGCCTCCGTCGGCGCCAGCGCGCTGATGGTTGTCCCTCCGTTCTACGATGCGCCCAACTTGGTGCAATTGAAGGAGCTGCTCAAGGAGATTCACGACGAGTCCAAGTTGCCGATTATGTACTACAACATCCCCTCCGCCAGCGGCGTTTCGCTCTCTCCTGAGGAGATTGCTTCGCTGTCAGAGGTCGGCGTCACGCATCTCAAGGATACCTCCGGCAATGCGCCCGCCCTGACAGACATGCTCTTCACTGAAGCTACCTCCTCCAAGGTTACCGCTTTCAACGGCTGGGACACCCTCACATTCTATGGCCTGGCCGCGGGCGCAAAGGGCTCCGTTTGGGGTGCGACAAACATCATTCCCGAGCTATCTTCACAGCTATGGGAGGCGCTGGGGGAGAAGAAGGACTTGGTGAAGGGTCGAGAGCTGTGGGCCAAGATCTTCCCCATTTGCAAGTTCCTCGAGGCGCCTGGGGACAACTACGGCGCGGCTGTGAAGACGGGCATGGAGTTGCGCGGGTGGAAGACGGGAGGTATGCGCAAGCCGTTTAAGCTGCTTGAGGGGGAGAGGCGCAAGGAGCTTGCGCAGTTGTTGAAGGATGCGGGCGTTGAGGTCGTTGCGTAGAGTGCTCTACGAGAAGATAATTTGAAGTAAATGTTTTGACCAATGCTTATATCGCGTCTTGGTTGCTTCTTTGTTCAATATTTCTGAGTACCATCACATGTTTCAACAAGGCTCAGATGTGGCTGGGATTATTCACGAAAATTGGCACGCTAAAATTACCACCGAGTCTCTTCGGACAAATATTTCGAGGCGGCTTCGTGATGCAGCTTTTTGGCCAATCTTATCGCCGCCCTAGCTCCAATTAGAGGTTGAGGAATTGTTGGTCGATGGGGGAGCTCGCATAGATTTCTTGGGAAAGGTCGGGATCTTGAGTTCTAAATACAGAAGAGCTCCACACGCCATACCTGCACATCATTAATCGTCTACATCATAAAGTCTGCTGATGTAGATATTCACCTCGGAATGGTTTTCATCATGTCCGGCCAGCTCAGGGTCCAATCACCGGTCTCCGTCCTCTTTTCCCATACACTCTGGGCCAGAACACTAGGCTTATCCGTACCAAATATCACGCCACTATTATCAATTGTCTGAAGCACCTTGAGCCCCCTCTCTTGTAAATCAGGCGTCGTAGCCTCGCACGCAGCAACGAAAGCTGCCCACCCTATGCTCGTCGCAAAGTCGTGATCGTCCGCTGTCTCTTCGAGGCACGGCTGAATGAAATCGAGCGTCTTACGTACAGAATCCTGAATTACCATGGCGCTCATGTTGTAGACGCGACGGTAAAAGTAGATGATAAGTGCCTGGTGCATGGCAAGCGTCAAGGATCGGATGAGAGGATGGTCTACGAGCTTCGTCTCTTGAGTAACGAGTTCTCGCGGACGGCTTGGCCCACTTTGCATATCCGACGATCCCAGTGACCAAGACCAAATATTCTGCTCCAATTGTTTGATATGGCGCGACAAGGCCACTGAGATGCGGTGGTCGTACATGGCCATGGCTTCCAGCTTGGTCTTTTCATTGGCGAAGCTAATGGTCTGCGACAGCAACGTCATCAGCGACTCTGGCACCCCATATATTTCTGGGTACATCGTTACAGGCCAGTGGCCAGAAATGTCGAGATGAATGTCCGCGTAGCCCACCTCTGCGGGCTTCTCCCGTGACAAGTCGAGGTCGGCGCCGAGAGAATCTTCTGCAATACGAAACTTGCGGAGTGACACCGCCATCTCGGTTGCTGCCTGCGCTTGGGATTTTACAGACTCTATAGCAATGTCCGTACTCTCTGCAATGACGCGAAGGTGTGTGTAGACATGGTGTAGTACGCGGACGTGGAAGGATTTGGGCATCGCAAGGCCACGGAGACGGATTAGACGTTCGGCATCGAGGAGGAAGATCTTTACTGCGCGGGATCCATTATAAAGAACCTGAATGGCATTAGAACAGTCGACTGGAATCGTGGGTTTCAGGGTGAACTCACCGATACCATGGCTGTGGCAAGAATGGCCATAAGGATCTCGTTGTATTTGGCCTGACTTGGCTCATCAGATTCGCCTTGTAAAGCCTTTTTGAGATGTGTCTGAGCACTCTTTTGATAATTCTGTCCAATATCTAGCCACCGTGTGGTTGACTTCTGGCTTTCTTTCTTCGAAGATTGATGCATATGAAAGGCACTCTTCGCCAGCAATGTACACAAGATACTGTGACGGGTATGCGAAGTGGTGTTCCAAAGCGACAGTTCGGCAAAGGTTTCCAGAGCGCAGGGGAGGAGCCAGAGCTGCCACGGTGATATCCTCATACCCTTGACTGATGATGACGATTCCATAGTCTTATAGTATCGTAAGAGGGAAGCTGCATGTGACGGCAAACATGGTTCGGTACCCGGCATATTATTAGTCAAGGAGGTAGAAAGCTTGCGCGAGATCGATAAGTCTTGCTCGTCTGTCGAAGGACTGGTCGGTTCTTCTGTATGGTTTTCCTCTCTTTCATGGTTCTGGCGTTGGGTATTTGTATCATTAGCTGGCCCAAGCTCGGTATGAGCCATTGCTGGCGTGCGCGGCGATAATGGCGAAAAGAGAAGATCTAGTGCAGAGTTGTCCATTGCCATCATATGAGACAAACTTCCGGACCCTTCGCCGTGCATCCACGGCTGGCTCATGTTATTGATGATGCCTTCGGTACTGAAGTTGTCAAACGGTCCAGGTAAGAAATATGGCTCCATGGCTAAAGAGTTATCGTCAACGGACCAAGGCTCGATTACAATATCCTCGATGTCTTCAGCGAGCTCGCCATTCATCGTCTCTGGCAAGGCATCAGATTGCGAGGTATCAGGCGAGCTTCCAGACGCAGAGGGCTGTAATGGCGAAGATCCAGAATCCGTAGAGCCATCAAAGGCCCTGAACACGCCAAACGGACCAGCTACATGGGCGTCATCGGCATGGACGCTTTTCTCGTCGAGATCCAGAACAATGTCGCCGGCAGACTGGCGCCCCATGCTCGTCACAATCTCGACACTCATTGTCTTCCTCTCTTCCTCGGTGAAAAGCGGGTACCGATAGGAAGTGCCGCGATGAGCATGCTTCTGCTCAGCGGAGCACAGGGGGTCCGGAATCCACAGGAGCTGGCCATCGTAGCCCTCACAGACGAGATTGAGGCGGCGGCAGGACGAGCATACTGGGCGGGCCTCATCACACTTGAGATGGCGACTTCTGCAGGTGCGGCAGCCTGTGAAGGTTCTCGAGCGAGGGACCTTCTTTGTTGGGGCAGCGCTGCTGGCAGTGGTCCTCGTTTTCGCTGTTGGCTTTCCTTTCGGGGGAGGCGGCTTTGCCCCGGATTTGGACCCTCTGGTGACCGGACGGGCAGGCATTCTCGAGTGTGCGGCAGGATACTGAAGTGCAATGCTGATGGTAAAGCTGTTTGATTGGATTTGACACGTAGGGGATGATTGTAGTAGGGGAGGAGTAACACATCAGGCTTGTGTTCCCGATGGGCTGTTTCTCTCGTGCTCTTGCGTGACTTAAAGAGAAGCCGAAAAGAGACACGAGACGTGTTCGCCGTTACGTATGCATCGATATCGGCGGGATAGCTTTGGTCAGCTGGGCGATAGGGATGTGGTTCATCATGCGTGGACAGTTCGGCGTCGTTATCCGTAGATGCCAAGTGTAGTCAGTCTTTGTTCGTGCCAAAATCATCTGGGAAGGTTTCCGCGACGTGAATCGGTACGTATCGACGCTAACGGGGTGGAGACTCCAGGGCCGATAGAAGGCCGGTCGATCCCGCTAGGATAATGCCGGATCAGTCACGAATATGAATCTCGAGTTTTAGTTATGGCCTTTCCTTCCCAGCATCCGCAGACATATGACGGCGAGAAGGGAAGAGATGGGGATCTGACTGTAGTGTGATTGGATGTGTCGTGCTGTCTGAACACTGTGATGGGAATGCCTTCGCGAGAACCTAGGTGGTCCGTGGCACATGCGTGTAAGTCGAGTGTCAGAACTGTACCTCGAAATCAAACCAAGTATTGCATCATCAATCTCCCTCTCGAAAAAAATCGCAGTACATGCGAAATAACTGACACAAAGTCGCAATGGCATTCAGGCACCCTGGATCACTTACACTAGCCGCTATATTCCGACAGTGGCCTCGAGTTGTGGCTGGCGTGCGGACATTCTCGGCTACATCAAGCAACCGCGCAGCTGCCATCTTCTCGAACGAGCCTTGCAGGCCAAGGATAATGACATCCTCACTTCCCAGACCTAAAGTAAAGGGCGGTCTCGCAGAGTTGGAGGAAGTTTTTGATACCAGAAGTGCGAACATTTCGGTCGACTACCTACAAGAGGTCGACAGGTAACTAGTGAGTCAAATTCGCATGTCGCGCGCCTTATCTGCTTGTCTTTGATGATGATGTGCTTCTGGAGTCTTGTCCATGCTGATGGCAACACATTCTTGGATCTGTATATATTGCGACCATCCTCATTGCCATGGGTAGATCTGAAGAACTAACGAATTACGCGTACTTGATGCATAAATTTGCCTAAATCGCCTCAATTCCTCTCGAAGATAACAATCCAGAAGTCAACCGCGCCTCTGTAAGCCCAGTCATGGTCCGCGCCATCGCCAGCCGGCCAGCACTCGGAAGATTTCCATCGGCAGACTACGCAGACCTCCTCAAGACCGGCACCTTGAAAGCCGCGCCGCAAGGTCTGAATCAAGTCTTCACGGCAACCACAGGATCTGATGCAAACGAGAAAGCGTACAAGGCCGCCTGCATTTGGAAAGGGACCAGGGAACCGCAGCCGTAAGGGTTTCAGCGCCGCTGAGCTGGATGTCGTAGTGCGAAACCAAGCGCCTAGTGCGAAGAAGTCTTCAACGATGTCATTCTTCAAAGGGTTTCCACGGCAGTCTTTCTAGAAGTTTATCCATAACGAGGAGCAAGCCGATTTACCAATTCGATGTGCCGGCTTTCGACTGGCTTGTGGCTCCTCTCCCGCAGTTTCAGTACCCCCTCGACCAATTCGCAACTGAGAATGCTGCTGAGGAGAAGAGGTGCCTTGAGGAAACGGAGCTTGTGCTCGACGAGGCTAACGACACCGTCGCGGCAGTGGTCATTGAACCTGTGCAAGCCGGGGGCAGCGACAATCATGTGTCCCCTGCCTTCTTCCGCGGGCTTCGTGCGCTTAACAAGCGCAAGAGCGTGTTAACGATTGCCGATGAAGTTCAAACAGGAGTAGGTGCAACTGGCAAGTTCTGGGCCCACGAGCACTGGAATCTCCCGTCTCCGCCAGACATGGTCACCTTCTCGAAGACGGTGCAGGCGGCGGGTTTCTCTTCAGCGACGCTGGTCTACGGCCTGACAAGCCGAACCGGCAGCTCAAATACTTGGGTAGGCGATCTCGTGCGTGCGCTACTGTTCAAAGCGATTTATGGAGAGATTGAGAAGCATGGGTTGGTTGAGCAAACGGCGCGGATCGGCAGTCACCTGTACCGAGAGCTGGAGGCGCTGGCGGACAAGTACCCGCAAAACGTATTGAACCCTCGTGGCAAGGATCGCGGAACGTTTATTGCGTGGGACTGTCCGCGAAGGGAGGAGGTTTTGGGCCAGGTCAAATCGAAGGGGGTGAACATGGGTGGCAGCGGCGATGCTGCAATCTGATTACGGCCGATGTTGGTGTTTGAGAGGCATCATGGTAGATTAATACCCGAGGAATCGATAATCTAGGGTACGAATCGAGACTGACCAGTAGCAATCGATAGCCGACATTTTCCTTGACGTCTTGGAAGGGGTATTCAAGCGGCTGTCGTAGGCCCAGCTATTGCCAGGGACACGTCTCGAACATGAATAAAATAATTGATCTATAAGCAAGACTCTCAAAGACCGTTCTCGAAGATAGAATCATACATTAGCACGCCCTTCGGTGGGTCGTCTGTAGTCAAGATAGCATCGCTAATTGGCAATTGGCGTCAATGTTTAAAAAAGCTGGAGTGACGCGATGGAGTAGCGCATTGTGTAATTCGTGGGGCAGCTTGGCAGCTTCACTGCTCTCGTCCACTGGAAGAGATTGGTAATCTGCTCCAAGCTTCAACCCCTGTTTGGAAGGCCAGCGCGAGCAGGTTGCGTGTGGTTTATATACTTCCATGTGATGCCTCCTCAGATCCTCAGGTTATCAATCGCCAATCTCAGCTCTCCACTCGCCTTTAACACTCAATTAGAAAGATTGCAGCGCACAGGATAGCAAAACTCAGACACAATGGTCAACATCTTCCTGTAAGTCAACTGAAGCTCAGTGAAATAAGCCCGTGTAAGTGCTCCGTTCTGACAGAAAGCCTCCAGGACCGGAGCGACGGGCTACATCGGAGGCAGTGTCCTGTCTTTGCTCGCCAAGTCGCACCCCGAGTATGCGGTGAGAGCGCTAGTCCGCGACAGCGCCAAGGGAAAGATTATCACCGGCGCCTTCAGCAAGGTCGAGATCGTAGAGGGTGATCTTGACGATGTTGAGACCATCACTCGGGAAGCTTCCAATGCCGATGTCGTTGTCCGTATGTTTTGGTTCTGCAACATAGCGGCCTCGTGAGCTGAAATCACTAACACAAATGCCAGATCTGGCTGCGTCTGGACATTTGAAGAGTGTTGAGACCATTCACATGGCTTTGTCGTCCAAGTCGGCAGAGCAGAAGTCATGTAAGTCTGCGCTGCCTTTTTTCAGCCAGTTTACACCCGGGAGTCACGATCCATGATGCTAACATCTAAACGCAGCGCACTGGATCCAGATCTCTGGCGCCAGCGCCCTTGCCGCAGCAGAACTCGCCGACAAGTCTCGCAGTCCAGGCTCGGCGAGCGACCTGGTTTTCAACGACCTAACCAGTATCGACGACCTGCGATCGTTCATCCAAAAATACCCGAGCCGTGCCGTCGACAACTACCTCCTCAAAGTCGCCGCCGATGAGCCCAGGGTCAACACGGCACTAGTGTTCCCACCCATCATCTACGGCCGGGGACTCGGCCCTGTCAACCAGCGCAGCGTGCAGATCCCGTCGCTGGCGAAAGCCACGCTGGATCGCGGTCATGGGGTGCAGGTCGGCAAGGGCCTGAGCCGGTGGGGAAATGTGCATGTTGAGGACGTTGCACAGTTGATTGCCCAGCTTGTCGAGCGAGCTACTGAGGCGAAGGGTGAGGCGGAGGTTTGGAACGAGAACGGACTGTATCTCACTGGTGTTGGTGAAATTGTGAGTGAAGATGAATCCGGGCCCTCAACTCCTTGCTTTGCACCAGCTAACAGTATTGATTCACAGTCCTTTGGCGAAATCTCAAAATTGGTTGCCTCCGCTGCTGCTAAGAAGGGTCTCATTTCAAAAGACGAGGTGGAGGAAGTTGGACCCGAAGAAGCGAACAAGGTGCTGCCACACGGAACGGTGTTATTTGGAACAAATGCTCGCAGCGAGGCACTTAGGGCTAAGAAGGTACTGGGTTGGGCGCCGACAGGCGAGAGTTTGGAGGAAGAGATCCCCAAAGCTGTGTCTTGGGAAGCTCCCGAGGTTCAGCACAGTGAGCTTAAGCGATGAACAGTCGATGCGAGGTCGTAGACGGCGGTACATAAACCAAGAATAAAACGAAACTCACATATTAAACAGTCTCAAAGCCGGGTCATCAAGTCAAGATTGGATAGGGTTTTTCATATGCGTTTCAGAGAGAAGTGTTCACAAGCAGGCTTCGGCCCTTTCTGTCAAGCCGGACTTCGCTCACTATCTCAATGCTCCAGTGAGGAATACCTAATTGAAACCTTTGGGGATCGATTCAGCTTCAAATGAGGGACGAGTGCCTAGATTAGGGAGCATGCTCTGTGAATTGCAAGGTGGTGGTGGAGACTCAGCCCCTCATCTCCCCTCACTGCCCCTCGTTTTGATGCGCAGATTCTATGAGGAAGGTCTCCCCGACCATTCGGAGCTTCACTGCTCTGCCATGGTCAACCACAGGTGAGATCCAGTAGGGTCAAACATGCCGAATCGGTACGAAGATCTCAGTCGCTTCGCGGTCCCAACAAGATGAGAGTCTTGAAGGCTTACTCCCGATGAATGTCTTTTGGAAACGCTGTCTCAATCCAGCCATCCCCAATTGCGGGGGAGGGGTAAGTTAGACCCCGCCTGGCAGGCTACGCCGATACTGAACAGATACAGCGTCACAGGCAGATTGAAGCTGTTCGCGTGTCAAGGCCGAATCCGCGGGCGTTTATCAGATGATGGTTCGGAGTGATAACCTATCTCATTAAGCCAAACTACTTACTCAATTGATTCTGCAAACGCCTTCTTGGATACCAAGACTCATCCAAATTCGAGACCTGATTCATAGACGCTGGCCCTCATCACCATTTCAAACCTGCTGATTCAACTTCTGAGAGAAAACAATCCAGTCTCAGTTCACGTTTTGACAACAAGATGGGAGACCTTTCAATTGTATTGACTGCGCCTAACGGCCAGAAGTGGACTCAGCCAACCGGCCTGTTCATCAACAACGAATTCGTTCCCTCATCCTCCGGGCAGACTATTCCTGCTATTGATCCAGCGTGAGCAGTAGACTCAGATAGTTCAAAATGCTTCAAGTAAGATGATTTGCTAATGTCCCGCGGGTTTTCAGGACCGAAGAAGAAATCGCGAGAGTTCATGCAGCCACCGAAGACGATGTCGACAAGGCCGTTAAGGCCGCCGCTGCGGCGCTGAAGGCGCCCTCCTGGAAGGCGCTGTCGGCTTCAGACAGAGGCATACTCATGGCCCGTCTTGCGGACCTAATGGAGTCGAATAAGGAATTGCTCGCAACCATTGACGCTTGGGATAACGGTAAGAAATCCTCAAAATCCTACTCAGCCTCAAGACAACACCTGCTCGAGTCCAATTCTGACGACGTAATTACGCAGGCAAGACATACCAAGAGGCATTGACAAACGACATGGTCGAAGCCGTCGGAGTTATCCGCTACTACAGCGGTTGGTGCGACAAGATCTTTGGCCAGACGATCAGCCTGCCAAACAAGTTCGCCTACACTGTCCGCCAGCCCGTTGGGGTTGTAGGTCAAATCATTCCGTGGAACTATCCCATATCAATGGCAACGTAAGACGCTCTCTGTGACGATAGACTGAGTTGCATTTTGCTGACCCGTCAACCGCAAAACAGATGGAAGCTCGGTCCCGCGCTAGCCTGCGGAAATACCGTTGTTCTGAAGGCCGCTGAACAGACTCCCCTTAGCATTCTGGTCTTTGGTCGCCTCATCAAGGAAGCCGGCTTCCCGCCAGGCGTCGTGAACTTCATCAATGGTCTGGGTAAAGATGCTGGTGCTGCCCTCGTCTCCCATCCCTTGGTTGATAAAGTCGCGTTTACGGGATCAACGGCGACCGCGACCAACATCATGAAGATGGCATCTGCAACACTGAAGAACATCACCCTCGAGACGGGCGGGAAATCGCCGCTGTTGGTCTTCAACGACGCGGATCTCGAGCAGGCTGTTCGGTGGTCACACATGGGCATCATGTCCAACCAAGGGCAAATTTGCACAGCCACGTCACGAATTCTCGTGCAGCAGGATATATACGACAACTTTGTCGCGAGATTTATCGACGAGGTCCACAAGACAAGTAAAGTCGGCAACCAGTGGGATGCCGAAACCTACCAGGGCCCGCAAGTTTCGAAGCAGCAATACGATCGCATCATGTCCTACTTCCAGATCGGCCGTGATGAAGGAGCTACAATCAAGACTGGCGGCGAAAGGCCGACGCATCTGGGCGATAAGGGTTACTATGTTGCGCCGACCGTCTTCACCGACGTCAAGAGCGACATGAAGATATGGCGCGAGGAAATCTTCGGCCCTGTCGTCGTGATCCAAAAGTTTGGCGACGAGGCCGAGGCGGTGTCGATTGCCAATGACAGTGTCTATGGCCTCGGCGCAGCAGTCTTCACGACAAACTTGGAAAAGGCCCATCGCGTGGCTGCTGAGATCGAGGCGGGTATGGTTTGGGTAAATAGCACACAGGACTGTGATCCAAGGGTCCCCTTTGGCGGCGTGAAGCAGAGCGGCATCGGACGGGAGCTTGGTGAGGCGGGGCTTGACGCGTACAGCCAGATTAAGGCGGTTCATGTGAACATGGGCAACAAGCTCTAGATATTAGAAGCATCATCGCATTCAAATGCTTCGGCAGACACCACAACTATTCCTGTGGGATTTCTAAGGAAGATGACGCGATCCAGAAGGGGTCTTTTCCCAGTTACTTTACTAATAATCCCCGCATAATCTCTCCCTCAAAAGTGATCCCTTACGTAAACAATCTTACCGATCTCCGAGCGCGGTCATCGGTCTTCCGCCTACGTAGCTAGAGATAAATGAGCAATGCCTGAATCGCGGGGTCCCAGCGCTGCCCCTCGTTGTTCTGGCGTTTTGATAAACGGTTTTCAACACTGAACAAGCATGTTCACTAGAAGTCGCAACCTTGCTACATCAGTGATCTATAGAAGGCCCTCTACAGCATTCATAACTCCTTCGACTTGCGTCAGAAGGTTCAGCCAAGGCTTTCCAATGGCTCAAGATGGCGAGCGCGCCGCTGATGGTGAGTCGTGAGCATCAGTGAGCCAGTGTCTCACAGAATCGAATGCGTCTTTAGCTACTCTGTTCTGACTCAATCCAGGCAAACCCGTCAACTTTGGCCTCGTACTCTTCCCAGCCTTTCAGTCCCTTGACGTCTTCGGGCCCCTGGACGCCCTCAACATGCTATCAGGCTCATACAAAATGAACCTCTACATCATTGCAGATACCCTAGACCCGGTGCCAACAAGGGTCAAGGACGCCAGCCACATCTCAAACTTCTGCGAGAGCGTCGTCCCAACACACACATTTCAGACCGCCCCGCCCCTTGACGTCCTCATCGTCCCCGGCGGGCAGGGGACTCGGAACCCGGGCATCAGCACCGCAATCGACTTTGTCAAGGAGCGCTTCGACTCGCTGCAGTACTTACTGACCGTCTGTACCGGCGCCGGAGTCGCGGCACGGGCGGGCGTGCTAGATGGGCGGAGGGCGACGACGAATAAGCTCTCGTGGGACCAGACGATTGCGCTGCGGCCGCAGGTTAACTGGATTCACAAGGCAAGGTGGGTGCAGGATGGGAATGTGTGGACGTCTTCGGGCATTAGTGCAGGCATCGATCTGGCATTTGCGTGGATCGGAGCCGTGTATGGGAAGGATGTTGCGAAGAACATCGCCAACAGAATGGAGTATACGCCTGTTGAGGACCCAAGCTGGGATCCGTTTGCTGACTTATGGGGGTCATCAAAGTAAGGTGTAGAGATATGCGTGGTGTTCATAGATGGGTATTGTGCAGGCCATTTTCAATGGCTCTGATCTCTAGATGTCCTTCATTGTTTTCTCCGCGTTATTGGCGCTGCGTCCATAATCGTCCTGGAGGCCAGTCAAGACCTGGATGGTTTCACAATAAACCGAGGCGATCTAAGACGACACTGGATCCCAGATATCCCAGACTTTCCGGCCGCCAAACCAAGTCTCCTCCACTTGGGCTTGCAACAAGCTCTTCTCATCCCACTCCATATCAACCACAATGAAGTCAGCGCACTTTCCAGCCGCAAGGCTCCCCGTACGTTTCTCATCAAACACACTGCTAGCAGCGCCCCAAGTAGCGGCTGTCATAGACTCACATAGTCCAAGACGGAAGTGCTCGTTGAAAGTCCCAGTGAATTTTGGATCTCTTGCAGACCGTCTCGAAGCCGCAACGTATAAATTCTCCATCGGTGCCCACGGCGAGGTCGGACTATCACTGCCGATAGCCATCAAAGCCCCCGAGTCGGCGAATTCGCGGTAGGCAAATGCTCGATGACAACGATCTTCTCCGATCAGGCGGGGCCATTCAGCGAGGACAGCCGGGTCCGAATGGACTGGTTGGATAGAGGCTGTGAGACCCAACCTGCCTAGGCGAACTGCATCTTCTGGTGACACAAGTTCTAGATGTTCGATGCGGTGGCGGCGGCCGGGGGTGGTGTGCTTCTCAATGGCGTCGATTGCCATTCTAACCGCCGCATCTCCGATGGCGTGCAGTGCGACTTGGAGACCACCATCATTTGCTTCCTTAACAACGGGGTCCAGATACTCCGGTTCCCAGATTGGTGGGGGCTTGCCTGCCGGTGCGTAAGGTTCCGAGAGAAACGCCGTGCAAGCATCGATAATGCCGTCGCATATCACTTTGATACCGACAATACGAAAGTCCGGGCTAGTGGTGAAGTTGTAAACTTGGCTCAGCTCAATGGCGCGACGAACTTGACGGGAGTTGGCATGATGATCCGTTGTTGGCTTGATCAGCCAGTACGCGGCTACATGGATCGGGAAATCTGGCTGGGTATCCCGAATGGTGATGATCGCGTCCCAGGCTTCCTCATCCATTGCCATCTCCACCACGCCGGTATATCCTGCCGCATTATACTCCTTCACCGCAGCGATGATAGCCTTGATACGCTCTTCTTTGGGGGATGAGGAAGCTTGGTACGGCCAGATGATAGACATCATTGCGCCTTCATCGAGAACACCAGATGGCCTCCCATGCTCATCGCGATGGATGCGTCCGCCAGCCGGATCCGGCACGTCGGCGACTCCAAGCTCTTTCAGAGCTGCATGATTACACCAGGATGAATGCAACGAGCTCGCATCGACAAAGATTGGGCGGGGATCAATATCATCGAGTAAAGCGGCCGAGACTCCATTCGGAGTCATCGAGTGCCTCCATCCTTTGCAGAGAATTGTTGGTAGATTCGGGTTTGCCTTGGCGTATGACCTAATGCTGGATCGGATGTCGTCTAACGTTTTGCAAGTTGATAAGTCGAGTTTCCGAAGAGATTGTCCTAATAGGAGGAGGTGCATATGGCCGTCGATGAAGCCGGGAAGGACTGTACGATGCTGCAGGTCATGGACCTTGAACCCCGTTAAGTCTGATGGTTCTATTTCTTTCCGAGTTCCAATAGCTGCAATCTTCTTATCTATCACCAAGAGACTATCGACGAAAGTTGCTTCGGCATTGAGTCCTGTCCCGGCGTTGACGAGGACTCTGCCATTGTGAAAGAATGACCCTGCAAACATTACAATCACACAAGAACTCTTAACCTCAAGTGAATTTTGAGGTAGATTATAGTTGCTAGTATCACTTAACAACAATCGTTGCTGTGAGTTGTGTTAGTGAGACGCTCAAAGGTACTGATGATAACCTACAAAGAGGAAGCTTGAGGCTCCAATCGTTTACTTCTTGTCCGCAAATCTGCATGTAAGTTGTTTTGGTGCAGGTAAAAACTAATTCCGAGTCTCGGCACGTTTTCGGAGCCCTTGCTTATTCTTATAGTCTCAGCTAAGCCTCAGGTGCTCAATACTACTTATCTTGAGTCGCTAATGATTCCGAGAAAAGAACTTGTCAATAGAAATCAAAGTGGGTTTTCGTCATTTAGCGCTCGTCACGACTTTACTTCCCAGTTCACTCAGCTCTCATACCCCATTTTTGCTCCCGAATAGTCAAAAAGCGGGGCAAGACCTCTCCTCGACTTTCCTTCCCAGTCAAACTAGAAGCATCGTTCATAGCGCGGTTAGAGGAAGACCGCGCTCCGTTGGCTTCCGCAATCAGCTTCTTTGCGCTGATTCCCTCAACTCATCATGGCCCTCACTTATCGAGTCGTCGATTGTCGTCGATTGTCCTAGAGATATTTGAGAATAAGTATGGCTTGCTACTTGATAAATCGACCTTCCTTCTACTTTCGTCGGGCTGTCTGAGCCTGCATTTTGAGCAAGAAGGAACAGACGCTTAAGGCCCAATGAGAAGGCGCGATTGAGTCAGAATTGAAACGCATGGAACACCAAGGGGAAGCGAACAACATAGGAGTGGGAAAATGTTGAATGACAAAGGTATCGGTCAAGTCATTTCTAGAAAGATTGCCGTCCAGCCCCAACTTATATGCAATCTCTATGTGACTTCGGTCGATCTCCCGTCCACGTGAACGTGACCTGAGTAAGGAAGAGGAGGTCATAGGTGCGGGGTCGTGACCAACCGATGTTCAAGCAACCGTCATTACGGGCGTCTTCAAGCACACTCTAAGTATCAAAGACAAATTGATTACGAATGTACAAGTAAAAATCACTCTTTACACCGTCGATTCTCCCAACTTTCGAAATATGTATCAGTCACAGATCACATTTACTTTGGATACGGTTTGTCCCTGGTGAGTGTCGACTCCATCACAGTCTGATTTCTTACCATGAGTGAAAGTTGACTTCGGGGAAAGGACCTACATTGCTAAGAAGAGGTATTAAATCACAAACATGGATGCGATTTAGTAATCTGACAGTAGGCAGATTGGCGGAGGCTCTCGACCAAGTCGCAGCTAGCCCCAATGGCAAAGATGTTTCCTTCACCTTGGTCTTCCGTCCGTACCAGCTCTACCCGGACTTCCCTTCAGAGCCGCAGGACAAGCGGCACTGGTACACAACAGCAAAGCATGATGCCTCTGATCAAAAGCAAGAAGTTTTCGAAGCAACAATGGGGGCCCTCGGATCTGCAGCCGGCATCAACTTTTCCTTTGGGGGCACCATGTCCAACACGCTTCCATCGCATCGAATCATCCAGCACTTTCAGGAAGCCAAGAATGCAGAGACTGCAAATCGACTAGTTGACGCGTTGTATAGTCGCTACTTCGAACGCGAGCAAGATCAAAACTCCAAGGACGTGCTGATTGAGGCGTGTGTCGAGGCCGGTATCCCGGAGACGGAGGCGAAGGCGGTTGTGGACGATGAAAGTGAAGGGAAGATGGAAACGAGAAACATGATCCGGATGGCCGCCATGGATGGCGTTGATTCGGTACCGTATATCATGTTTGAGGGCCGTCGGAGGGATCTCACTCTCATCGGGGCCAAGGAGGTTGATGAGTATGTCAAGGCTTTGCAGACCATCATCAAAGAGAGCAAGTAACGAAGTATACTTAGTATTTTTGTTTCATTCAAAATGTATAGGTAGGCACCCAGATAAGATAATTTTGGTCATCGGCTCCTGTTTGGTCGAGAAGTTGTCCTAGTATCGCTCCAAGATCCACTGACGGCGGTCATCACTACTAATAGCCTCCAGGTTCTTCATTTCCTCCTCCTTAACTGTGATGTATCTCTCTATCAAGTCCTCACCAAGCAGCTCGTTCATGACATCGTCCGCGCGGAGAGCTTTGAGCGCCTCTGGCAGACCTGAGGGAAGCATCTGCTCGACGCCCAGCTCCTTCCGGTCATTCGGCGTCAAAGACGCAGGGTCAACCTCGCAATCGCCCCAGGTCATCTTCTCGCCTTCGATGACACCGTGTGTGCCTGCGCCCAGGAGTGCAGCGAGTGCGAGGTACGGATTTGCGATGCCGTCCATGCACTTAACCTCCCAATGGCTGTTCTCAATCTTGCGCAGCGGCGTCTCTCTGTTCTGGGTGCCCCACGTAACCCAACGACCCCCGGCCCAGCAGCCATCTTGGACTCTCTCGTAGCTGACAGGGTTGCTGTATGTGAAGGCCGTGATCGCGCGAAGGTGCCTCAAGATCCCGGCATAAAATGGGTTGTACGTCTCTGGCTTTGAGCCTGCAGCGGAGTTGATTGACATGTGCACATGGGCTGCGGTGCCGCAAGCTGTCGGATATGGTTTGGGGTGAAGAGTCATCCTGTAGCCTTCTGCGGCAGCGATGCTTGAGATGACTTCACGGACGTAAAGCAATGTGTCGACTGCTTCGAGGGGAGGTGCCTGGGGAAGGATGACTTCGAACTGGCCGGCCGCACTCTCAGGGTGCACTTGTTCGATGTAGATGCCGTCTGCGTCTAGCTCGGCCACAGCCTTCTCAATGACTTTGGCGAAGACAGGGTGATCCATCATGCGGGAGGTAGACCATGCGTGACCGTCATTGCTTAGAGTTTTGTACTTTTCGAAAGAGTTATCCACGCGCTCGAGGAGAACCAGCTCAATCTCAAATCCGAGACTGAAGGTCAACCCATGTCGGGCAGCTATCTCGATCACCCTTTGCAGTAAGGATCGCGGGCAGAAGGTTACAGCAGAGCCGTCATACTCTCTGAAATCGCCAAAGACGCTGATATGACCTTCTCTGGGACCCTCCTGAAGTGAGGTGAAGTCGGGATGTAGACGGTACTCTCCGGTGCCAGATGCCCCTGGGACCACGTGGTCGTTCTGCAACAGTCCGAGACTTGCTTTTGTGATACTAATGGAGAAGTCACCGTCTTCGTTCATTACAGAGAGAACTTTGCGCATTGGTATTGCGCGAACTCGTGGTGTTGCTGTCAGGTCATTCCAGTAGATGCGCAGGTATTGAGGTGGCTTTTTTCCATCCAGGAAAGCTTCGAGGATGTCAAGATCGCTTCGTCCTGACAGTCTTCTCGGGTTCGAAATTGTTTCATCGAAGCTGAACTCTAGTCCGAGATGGTACACACGGTTGGAGTTGTTGAAGAGGATGTCTTTGACGAGTTGAGTTGCTTCCCGCCAGGTCATGTGTCCCTTGCGAGAATATTCAGACAAGACCTGGATCATGTCAGCCTGGACGGAAAGAAGAAGCGGCGTATCATATTATTGACCTTTTCCAAGACCTCCCGCACTTGAAGGACGGCGAGAAGGTAAGTTTCTGGGAACCAATGCCCATCAGTGCTCCACAATATCTTAGACCAGGGACACAACTCTAGGACCTGCCGCACGGCAGTTTCCTGGCCATCTCTGCTCAGGAACGGAAATATCTCGCCAATATCAGTGTAGACATTGGCATACACAGACGCCAAGTATCCGGCCTCTCTCATGAAGGGATAGCTAGCATGCAGGAGTACGATGGGAACTGTGGGATACTGGCGAATGAAGTCCTGTAGATGTGATGGGGAAGCGGAAGTGAGAGTGATGTCGTTGTCGCCGAGGCCAGTGTGAAATTGAATTGGCTTCTTGCCAGAGCCTGAAGCATTCCTGATGAGACAAGCCAATCTGTGCACCAGGTACTCATTAAGCCCACGGTGATTGACGCGTGTGAATGCCTTGTCAGTGCCTTTAGTATGAGTCTCATGGATCTCCTCAAATACCTTGCGAGCCGCAGCAGCGTCAGGTCTCCTGGGAATACCCAAGCCAGTGCGGTAGCAAATCACGGACTTGAAGCCAACGACTTCCGGATCGGCTATGGCCTCCACAATACTGTGATCGAACGCTTTCAATGCCTTTTCAAACACAGACCCGGCGTCTTTGGCTGTTCTTGGAGCATGCTCATCCGTGGGGAGATGGTTATTGATAATGTCTGCCGCAATCTTCTCGATGCGCACAATCCTCTTAGCGGGGCTGCGTGTAAGGTCGCTGAAGTACGTGTAAGGATAGACCGCATTCTCGCCATCTAAACCATCATCGACCAAAACTGATTCAATTCCATTAAGGCATTCCGAGACCCAGGCATCATAATCCTCGATGCGTTTCGCCTCAATAGCATTCACAACGGCTTCCCAGCTCGGCTCGCATCGAAGGATCTTGGAGAGCTGTTTGACGGCGCGCAAATGGGCCAAACTGGTCAGTGAGGCGTGGATTGCATCGCCGTGAGCTTCAGTGGTGATTGATAGAAGAGGGTAGCGGCCAATTGCATCGAGATCTAGAAGAGGATGCGCATGGTTGTCGATGATGGGCGTCGTCTGAATGGTGTGGGTGAGGAGTGCCTGACCAGTAAGCTTCGCGGGATCCATCTTCGCGGAGAAAGACCACCAGAGAGGTCAGGATTATAGCTTAGGTTGAAAAGGAATTATGACAGCCTTTCAACCGCAAGTTGATGGATTTAGTCCCCAAACGAGATGGCTTTCGGCCTGGTAATTTGGTTGCGTAGATGTGAAGATGCAGCTGGCGGAAAAGGGAGGGAGGGGTAGGTAGGTGATCAGGCTGTGAAATGACGTGAGATCTTATCGCTGCCGCTGCCGTGCTATGCCGATAGGAGGTTCCATGTCTCACAGCTTCGGGAATCCTCGCCTCCCTTTGGATAGATCGCGAGGGGAAACAACCCAGCCCCATCTCGCCCATTCGTAGATGTAAACTGGCCGACGTCACGGGCTGGAACGTGTAGTGGTGTTCGTCGGTTCAATAAGCTTTATACCCCGCAATCAACGGGTGGTAGGTGTCAGCTAGGGTCGATAATAAGACGAATCCGCCAGAAGTCCATGTTAAGAAAGCTGCGAAGATGATGTTCAAGGTCATGTTAGAAAGACTGCCGTAGCCATTTGTGTTAACGATGCCATTTCGCACTCATTGTGAGCATCGCTGATGTCGATGGATTTTCGACAGCCTTGAAGTTTTTTATTATATGATTGATTCCAAGGTCGTGTAGGTACCTAAAGCACTTGAACGTACTGCACAGGCCCGCCGGAGTCCCGAGCCGTTCGGCGGGGTTCTACTGTCGAGTAAACTTCGGGCCGGCTCCGGCAACCGGCATGAACTCTCCCTCATTATTAACAATAACGGAGATTTGAAATGTCACTTTTCTCAACCGTCGCCGAGGAGCGCGCAAGATACCTAGATGTTTGTGTTCCCCAACGCACGGAACCTCGGCGCCTACTTACATGCAGGCTTTCGGAGCTAGCAGAGTCCAACGAAATGGTATTTCAGGCAGGCTGGACGAAATCTCGCATAAGTCGGCGTGCCACAAAGCCGCGGGACATATCGCCTGCAGGACACTCTAGGACATTCATATCAGGCTGACCAACCGGAGACTGAAGTCTACTGTTCCCAAGAATCGAGTGAGACAACCTGCTTGCACCCGACCCGATCCACCAGCAGCCTGCTTCAAGGATGACCAAAATTCTCAGATATCGCGCCTCGAAAGACTCGAGATCAGCACTCTTGTGCCGAAGCCCCTGCACCGAGCCTTGCTGCTGATATTCCAGACGCTGCGCCAGTTGCCACTAGGAACAGCCACTCTATTCAGCTTCTGCATGGCGACCATGTCTTATCACAACCGGACGCCTGTCTTGCTGGCCACTTTCTTGCAAGTTTGCAGATAGCTTGGCCGTACGCGTCCGGCCGTAGTAAAAACCGGCATAAGACCATTATGTTACTCGCCGCCCCTGCACTGCAATCCCCGACTCGATTGGGTTCTGACTTCAACTCAAAAAATGTCTGCTAGCAGTATCTTTGAAGCTACCGAATACTTCGCTTGGCCTATATCTTGTACAATCCTCCTCCTACTATTTTTGCACTACTTCGCTTCGCCGGTGAGTCGACCTTTTAGCTTACACCCGATTTGAAGAGCACATGCATTGAATTGAGGCTGACCCGTACAATTAGAAAACCCAATACGAATTGCCTCGATCAGAAAGTCGCACAAGAAGGCGTTCGAGTAAGATGGCGCATCCAGAAGACACTGTAGAAAGCTCCGTAATTATGTCAGATGGAAGTGAGTGCCCTGTTGGATGGACTCAGGACTGTGTCCCGGAAATCAAGCTTTGCCCAGGGTCACCGTAAAAAGTTGACATCTGATACAAACGTACTTGTTGACGAGGATTTGTTCAATGCTGATTACTACGTCGAGCAGAAGGATCTCTGCGTACGGACCCCTCTATGAGCACTGATGGTCATGTCTCATCAGAGACGAACCAAACGCACTCACCCGAAGCAGCTTCTTCTCCTCTCGGCTCCTCTCTTAGCGATGATTCACTTGAGGACAGAATCAACCGGGACCTTTGTAAGACCGAGGATGACAAAGATTTTCTGCCAGCCGACATTATCGATACCTTGACATCTAGGAGTATTGTCGAGGAAGAGCTCGAGGCGTATGTGGCAAGTGATCAACTATCATCCCTCGTAGCCTACGTCACGAACCCGAATCAACCTGCTAGGCGGCTATTTCTTACTCCGGTTGTTTGCGATGATCTGAAGCGACTTCAAGATCTAGCCGATGCTCCTCAAAAGTTTCATGACGACGACTTGCCCGT